CTGGCGTGGCCGACGGAGCGATGCTAGTCGGTGTCGGTGTCGCGGACGTCGCAGCCGGTGTCGTCGTCGGCGTTGGGTCGACAACTGGGGTGGTCGGTGGCGACACGGTGGCTGGATCGCACGCCGGGCGTTGGGCTGCAGCCAGCGCCATGCAGCAAATCATGAGGGACGACCAACCGAGCTTCATGCGTGTAAATGCAAAAGAAACAATGAAGGAGACTCGCGCTTTTGTACACACCGAGGTACACGGACACGACGCTGCATATGGGAGCTAGACGATATGATAGGGCCAGTAGAAAGTTCTCAATATGTCTGTTGCACGGTGGCACCACGTCCTGGGACACTCGAGACGCACCAATCGGCGCCGAGGGCGCGTACGTCGGTGGTACTATGAAGGACCGATTATTATAGTACAACGTAATCTAACGTTACGTGCATCGTTGTCTCGAGCGTGGATGATTCGGGACGCAAGTTGTTGCACTTCCCGCAGCGTGGCAGGGGTAGGGTACACTCGTCTTTCACACGACACGGAGAGGACACGTGCTTCCCAAGACTCCATGACGTGACACGAACACGTCGAGGACTATGCCCGACGCTAGATAATACATCTACCCACACAACTATGATAGCACGTAGAGGCGGGCAGTTTGTGTGTTGCACTGTTGCGAAGATAGTAACGCGCCATGTGAAGCCGAAACGGTCGACTCGGCGTACGTCGGTGGTACGATGTACAAGTATTGTTGATCCCTGCAAACGTATGACTAACCTTGGCCACTTGGTACCACGCTTTCGGATCCTACACTACCGCAATCGCCGTCGCGTCCCAGTGGTCAAGCGCTGTATCCGGATACCGGTTGCTTCGGATGTGCTTGTGTTTAAAACACTTGCCAAGTGTTGAAAACACCGCATGCCTAATTAGGACATAATGCCGAATTAGGAAGCGCCAGCCACGAGGGCCAATAAAGATTCGGCGATGGAGGAGCCGCGGCTGACGCTGGCGATCCCCAAGACGGAGGCGCTCTGCGTCGAGATGCCGATGCTCTTCAAGGATGTGGCGAAGGCGCCTGCGTACTTTGGCGGCATGCAGAACCTCTCGACGATCCAGGAGACCAAGACGCCGTTCCTGCCCATCAAGCTGCGGCCGGGCGAGCCCAACTGCAAGCCGATCTTCGCCGACCGCGCCAAGACGCAGACGTTCGTGCTCAAGGTCACAAAGAAGCGACCGCACGAGCCATGCACGGCGGCGATCACGGCCATCACGAGCGAAAAGTTTGTCTGCGAAGGCATGGCCGACTACCAGTACTTTGCCGCGCCCAAGTACCTCGAGAGCATGGCCGCGCCCGTGAGCAAGAAGCTCTTGCTCTACCGCACCATTTCGTCGCCGAGCGAGCTCGAGCTCGTGCCCGAAGTCTTCTCGCGCGTCGACCTCCCGATACGGTACGAGTTCAAGCAGCGCCCCAAGTTCAAGGAGCGCGAGCCGGGCGACGATGCATCGCCGACGACCAAGGTCACAGGGCGCGGTGTCCAGTACGTCAACTTTCGCACCGACAAGGACGTGCCGCAGTTCCAAGGCCCGCAGAGCATGCCCAAGACGCGCGGTAGCATCCACGGTTTCCTCTTCCAGCGTCGCTCATCATGCTCGACTAGGGATTCCGGCCGAGCTCGAAGAGCAAGTGCTCACGTTCATTCGACAAAAGCTCGACGAACGACCGATCTGGCACCGCCACAAGGTTGCTGCTCGTCACTTCTATGATACTCATCGCTACGTAGCTTTTCGAGAACGTCCCGGCCGCCGAGCGTCGCGTCGCCCTGCGCTTCCTTCCGTACATGTGCTACATCTTCCTCAGCGGGCCATGGCGGGGCATGTGGGTGCGCATGGGCTACGACCCGCGAACAACGCCATCCTCGGCGCTCTACCAGGTACATCCATCGACTCCGCCATTTTGACACAACTTGAACGGGCTAGATGCTGGAAATTCGAGGCAACCGCGAGCTTGTGCTGTCGACTGTCAGCACGCAGAAGAAGAAGATCTCGCGCAACAAGTTCACGTCCCGCCTCTCGACCGTGGTCCAGTCGATGGACGCCGAAGACGACGTCGCGCTCCACTTCAAGCAAAAGAAGCGGCACAACCGAAGCAAGTCGACGGTCAAGACGGCGCCCTTGGCCGACCTCGACGATGACGCGCCGACGCACCTCATTTATGGCATTCCACTGAGTACTGGTTACTTTCATATTCAGCTCTGCGACCTCCGCGAGAACAACCCGTCGATCAACGCGGCCATGACGCCGTTCGACACCCAGTACGCTCTTGATCGATTGAAACATTGATACAAAGCGCTGCACTAGCATGCGACAATCGGCGAGCATTCTCTCGGGCTGGTACCCGTCGTGCATGTTTGCGACGCTGCGCGAGATGCTTCGGTTCCACATTGCGACCGTGGTAAGTTGAATATTGTCATCGAATCGTAAGACAAGTTGCACATGACATGTGAACTAGGTGGGCCGACCCGCGGAAGAGCTTGCGATGCGCCAAAAGCACATTCGGGCGCTGGAACGGGCGATGTTGAATGATCTAGCGGCGCGCGGGGACGTTGACAGCGATGACAACACCAAACGACCGTCGACTACAACTGGCGACGACGGGGACGCGCCTGCTGACGAAGCGACGGCCGACGAAGCAACGGCCGATGAAGTCAACAGCGCCGACGAAGACGACGGCGATGACGACGACGACGACGATGACGATGCTGATGCTGGCGACGAGGAAGAGACCAAGCAAGATGATAGCGTCGCGACCGTCATTGCTCTCTAAGTCCTAGCACAAAGGCGGTCAACCCTCGGCTGGTGCTGTTCTAAGACTTTGGTTGGGATCATTAGGCCGCCGCAGTAGGCAGATGCATAGTCGTATCGTGACGAAACACAGCTGTCAACGCTGCGATGACAACGGGTCGTCGTTACCCTAAACCTAATCTGCAATTATCGACCACGGCCTCACTGCGCCATGCATGACCGACTAGAACGACACCGTCTCTCCCGTCCAGCATGCTGCAGTCAACAATTGCTAGTTCAATACTTTCATTCGAGATTCATTATAAAAAGATACTAGAGCTGCACATGACGACGCTGCATCTGCCACTGAATACACATTGTCGTTCATTGTTGAGTGCATTGAGAAGCTAGTCGTGCTTGGCCAAGAACGGGTTGACCGCCGTCTTCCACTCGACGTCGGCAAACGTGTGGTTGACATCGCGGTGGTTGGCCTCGTCGGCGCGAATGCACTTGATCATGTCCAGGACGGTCGCGGTCTCGGGCAGCTTGTAGTAGTTGCGTGCGATCAGCGGCGCAATGTCCGTGTCCCAATGGTCGACATGGCCGTTCTCAATGTCTTGGACGAGCGCCGTGTACGTGTGGACGGCCTCTTCCTCGAGGTACCCCACGAAGCGGTGGCACGTCTTGGGCGACGTCAGGTACGCGAGAAAGAACACGTTAAAGAAGACGCCTTGCGCGCCGAGCACAAAGAGGCGGAAGAGCGGACCTGGCGACTTCATGTTGAGGAAGATGAGCAGATGCATGCGCTCGTTCTCAGCCTCCTCGAGGAGCGTGTGGATCCAGCCCTGGTCCCGCTGCATCGTGCGCAGCGAGCGGAGATGGCGGGCCATGCCGGCGACCATGCCAGGAACACCGGCAACCGTCTCGAGAAAGAGCGCGCGGTTGACCCAGTCCCCAGCCTTCATGCCGCCGCCCGGGCCCTTGTAGCGCGAGACAAAGTCAAAGCCGGAGCGCATGACGCGGATGGCGAAGAGGGCCACCTTGGCGTGCATCTCGACGGGCTCGCGGTGCGTCGGGTGGATCTTGGCGAGGTCTTCGGGACTGTAGATGGCGTGCGGGATCGGGTTTTCCCATGTTTGCGGTACGGTGGCCCACGACTGGATCTTGGTGTCGGCAAAGTGGCCGTCGGTCTTGGGGTGCGTCTTGAAGTGGTTGGCTTCGATGAGCGATGGGGCGGAAGCGCGGACCGCGCTAAAGGACCGGACCGAGACGCGCGACGTGGTGCGGAGGAGCGACGCGTGCATCGTGGAGAGGAGTGTTGTTGCAAGTGTTGGAAATTGAATAATGCGTCGGGTTCGGCCGTTGTTACATCGATGACGTGGCAACGTGTGACGCAAGGTGGCGTGATCATGACCACCTACGCATGCATCATACGTACACTATATCAGGTCGTGGTGGGACAGGCCGACAATTTGCGCTGTGCTTGACATTGCGTGCCTTGCGTTTATGGCTGCGCATTTTAGGACAGTCGTGAATGGGAATGAGCATTGTGGCTGTGATAGAGACTACGCACGCACCCAGTACACAATTTAGACCCACAGGCTTGCGTGCCAAAATATATACACTATTTCCGTTGATTCTGGATCGAAAGTCGACGAGCCAATCACAGCGTCGGTGAAGTCGGGCGAACGTAAAGTGCAACTTGAAGCTCTTGTCCCAAACGTCGTGTCGCGGGATGTGCTTCGACGACGGACCTCCTTGCTCGACGGCCGTGTTCACTCGGTCGCTTTCTTTGGCGAGCTCCCTCCACCGCCTACTCGTGAGCGGCGCGAGCTGCGAGCTTGGGTGTCTCGATGATGCGCGTTTCTTTCACAAGCTATCAAGCTTTCGAATGCAATCAAGCAAATGATAGCTTGTTGCGGAAGACCATGTCTTGGTAGTAGCCGGTCCACGAGGTTACTGACTCACCCTCTCTTTTTCTCGTGCCAGTGCGCGTGAGCCTTGACAATACTCAAGCGCGAATGCGTACACTATTGTCATCGATGGGTTGCCAACATACACATAGTGCCACATGGAAATGAGCTACGTACCGTCATGGACGTGATCACTCGAAAATAAATCCACCGTGCGACATCTGCGTTGGCGATTTCCCCGCTGATCATCGCATGCGATTCGCCGGTTGCCCTCGGCCTTGAAGTTGCACGGAGCGGTAAATAATTCATTTCAACTAGAAATGGAAAGGCTCGACATCCCAACCGTACTTGCATTCTACGACCACCTTGTGTAATCGACTCGAAATCAGCTAACCAGTGGTGAAAACCAACAACGTCATAAAGGCACGGCGTCAACCTGCACAGGACCCAAGACGATGACGTGCAAGCACTTGCGCGTCGCACGCACTGAACCGAAACGATGTTGGCGTAATGTTGTTTGCGGATAGCTCGTTGCTCGGCAATCGTCTTTGCCCTTGGCCCTTTTACCGCAGCGCAGATACGTGCAATCAACCCACGACGCCGGCGAAGCCCGAACGGTGGTGAACGATTTAACGTCGACGACGCGCCGCATCCAAGATGCAAATTGCGTTGACACGGATCAACAATCGCAGTGGGACACGAGGCCGTGCCACGTTCACCGCGCTTCCCTGCACCGGCCATTGGACGGTCGAAATGGCCGGCCCATGCGACATGCCCGCCACATCCGTCTCCATCGCACAACATGTGTTTTACCATCGAGAGGCGACACTCCATCGTCCTTGCCATCCTAGTCAGATTCCTCACTATTCAATTTCCAGCACTTGCAGCAACACTCCTCTCCACGATGCACGCGTCGCTCCTCCGCACCACGTCGCGCGTCTCGGTCCGGTCCTTTAGCGCGGTCCGCGCTTCCGCCCCGTCGCTCATCGAAGCCAACCACTTCAAGACGCACCCCAAGACCGACGGCCACTTTGCCGACACCAAGATCCAGTCGTGGGCCACCGTACCGCAAACATGGGAAAACCCGATCCCGCACGCCATCTACAGTCCCGAAGACCTCGCCAAGATCCACCCGACGCACCGCGAGCCCGTCGAGATGCACGCCAAAGTCGCCCTCGCCGCCATCCGCGTCATGCGCTCCAGCTTTGACTTTGTCTCACGCTACAAGGGCCCGGGCGGCGGCATGAAGGCTGGGGACTGGGTCAACCGCGCGCTCTTCCTCGAGACGGTCGCCGGTGTCCCCGGCATGGTCGCCGGCATGGCCCGCCACCTCCGCTCGCTGCGCACGATGCAGCGGGACCAGGGCTGGATCCACACGCTCCTCGAGGAGGCCGAGAACGAGCGCATGCATCTGCTCATCTTCCTCAACATGAAGTCGCCAGGTCCGCTCTTCCGCCTCTTTGTACTCGGCGCGCAAGGCGTCTTCTTCAACGTGTTCTTCCTCGCGTACCTAACGTCGCCCAAGACGTGCCACCGCTTCGTGGGGTACCTCGAGGAAGAGGCCGTCCACACGTACACGGCGCTCGTCCAAGACATTGAGAACGGCCATGTCGACCATTGGGACACGGACATTGCGCCGCTGATCGCACGCAACTACTACAAGCTGCCCGAGACCGCGACCGTCCTGGACATGATCAAGTGCATTCGCGCCGACGAGGCCAACCACCGCGATGTCAACCACACGTTTGCCGACGTCGAGTGGAAGACGGCGGTCAACCCGTTCTTGGCCAAGCACAACTAGAGCTTGAATCAACAAACCTTGTAGAACTACGCACCACACTATACATGCTTTTCTTTGATGAGTACTAGAACATTTTGTTTTTTGGCGAAGCTCTTGCATCGTCTACCGGAGGGATCGGGCGTGGGGCAAAATGCATGGCCGCATCAGGTCCTTGAGACTGAGAGCTTTGCGACGGAAGTGCTTGCATATCAACGACATGTCCTCGGCTACGTCGTGGTGTCTAGGTTAGTGTTCCCCCGCCGTGAAGTATCGCTGTGGGTATTTTGCACCGCGAATGTAAAAGTCGGCGTCCCGCGCTGTCAAGGCGAACGCCGGTCGCGCCATAGACGCCTCAAGCGCGGCCGAGAGCAGCGGAATGTCGTCGCCAAGCACGCGCACCTTGCGGTAGTGCTGCAGCAAAATATCAAACCGGAAAAGGAACGTCATGATGTTGATCTCGGCGCTGCTAAAACGGTCGCCTAGCAGGTACGGACCCTTGGCCCGGAACGCAGCTGCGTGCTCACGGTAGATGCGCTCGAGGCCTTGGAGCGACGCGCGCATCTCGGCCTCCAGCGCTGGCATCTTGGCGTCGTCGCTGTTGTGCAAGATGGCGTAGAACCGGCTCGGCTCAAACTTGGCGACCGCCAGCTGCGCGAGGGCGGCGAGGCGCGGGGCGTCGGCGCAGTAGAGCTTTCCGCCGTTGACCTTGGCGTCAATGTACTGCGAGATGATGGTCGACTCGTACACGGGCTCGCCGTCGTCAAGGAGGAACGGGACAGTACCAAAGCGGTTAAAGTCCGTCTTGTAGCTCTCGGGCATGGCTGTGAGCGAGATGCCAATCATGTCAAAGGCAGCGTCGACCTCGACCGCGGTCCAGAGCGCGCGGTGGCCAAAGGGGCAGACAAGACTGTTGAAGAGGTGGAGCTTGCCGTCCTGCGTCTGGAAGGAGGCGAGCGTGGTGGCGTCGAGCGACGTGTACTCGATGATGTCAAGGCGCATGCTGGTGGAGGTCTGGAACAATCTGGTTGGAGAGAAGAGTTGGGTTGTGAATGGCAGCCAACGAGGACACCCTCGGGCCAAAAGATGCACGGGACGACGCAAAAACATTGGAAGATGGGAAGAATCGAGACGTTGGCCGTTGAAGCCGTTGAACCTTGACATTTCGAAGCTTGCTGGATCGGCCAGAGGAGATCAATTAAAGCTTAGGTTCATCCGATTTTAGCAATTAAAGCTTAGCATGAGTGTCGCATAATTTAGTAATATGCAACACATCAGGCTTCGAGCTCCTTTGAATAGAAGCACCGAGAGCACTAGTGCCTCAATACAATCAGCAAAGCGTGTGGAAGCACTAGTGCTACGGACCAGAAGCACTAGTGCTTTCAGACGATGAGACATGGAGTACACACGCCATGTGACCTTGTGAAAAGGCATGAAAGAGCGGGAAACACTGTTTCGAGCACTGTTTCGAGCACTGTTTGAAGCACTGTTTGAGGCACTGTTTGGGGGCATGGTTGTTGCGCGCACTGGTGCTAACTGTGTAGCACCAGTGCTACACAGTTACGAGTAGACGGCATTTTGGATTGCCACGTCATCTATATTGCGTGTGGCGAACAATCGTTTAGTCAGTCAAGCTGGGATATACAGTGCTAGTACCAGTAGAAGCAACAGACCCGAAGATGCTAATCTAGTTTTCAGCCGTAGAGCTCGCGATGAGTTCAATCAATTTTTCCATTAAGAAGCGACTTAATCATGTATCCGCGGTACGAAGCACATAAATTGTCTGTGAGCGTGTGCACGTCAACTGGAGAGGACATGGCGTAGCGCTCGGCCACAGCTGCGAGGTACACGCCGCAATCGAAATTGTTCTTCTGGCGCAGGGCAACAAAACTCACTGGCCAGTCGTCCTGACGAGCAACGGATCCGAACTCTGTGCGGGGTGCCTTCTTCTTGTGGAGCTTGATGGTGGTGTCGATACGGTTGAGTACCTTCTTCAGCTCCTTCGAGTCCCACGGCCACGAGTCGTAAACGAACACCTTGTTCTCGTTGACGGCAACGACGGCAAGGGCCCAATGCGCGCGGTTGATGTTGGTTGGTAAGAGCACGTAGTCGTAGGCCATCCAGTTTCGCTTCTTGTGCAGAACTGGACCCGCCCGTTGGCAGTCGGTCGCCCACGACGTGCTGTCCAGACACAAAAGTCTGGAAGGCTTGGAATGCACTTCGTTCGACAACGCTGTGACCATGAACAGCCACGTGTTGATACTCTATGAGCAAAAAATGCGTGAGGTACGCATTTATGGAAGACATCGCGTCGCACATCGTCGTAGAGCCAGCGGTCGTACGCAATGTCCTTGAGCATGGTAGAAGTGACTCGATGCGGTCCTATGAGACGCCAGAGGTTATTAGTGGAAGGGGGAACAATACTGAGAGCGACGGTACCGACAGTCTGCAGCGCGGGCTCGTTTTCGTCGACGCGCCGATACGAATTGCCGTTGACGACCATCCTAGGTAGTCTTGTCTTTTTTTCCTTGGCGTCCGCGTCAATGAGCTTCTTGAATTTAGTGCGCTTGTACACGAAAAAATCCACCAATGCGTCGTTGACCGCCGACGCGGCTGCTTGAGGGACGTCATTGATCTACGTTAGACAGCATCAACGAGGAGCGACGTTACGACTGAACAGTACAGTCGCTTCACGTAGACGATGTGACAGGTCTTCGACGATTGCCTGGCTTGCGTATAGCTCGTGCTACGATTATTTTTTGTATGACGGCGTTGTCAGGGTTATGACGTACCTCCAAAACGTTGGCCCGGGTCGTCAGATGCTCTGCGCGTTCATGGAGCAGGTGCTCATTGACGCGCAAGTCCATGTTCTCGAAATGAAGACTCAAGGTACAGCGCTCAGTCTAGTAGAGTACATGGGTCGAGCACCAATACCATTTTACCTTACAGAGCGTGTCAATTCGTCGACAACACCGTAGAGCTTCGACACTACGACGTCCAGCTCCGGTGTGACGACGCGCGTGGACTGGAGCGGACTCGGCTCGTTAGCGCTTCTGCCGTAAGTCGCTTCCACGGCCATTTGCGTGAGTACATGAAGGCCAGCGCTGTCGCTCTCGCTGTCGTCGAAAGATTGCGAGCACCGTCTCTTCGTGTCGCGGCCCGCGTCGTCGGTGGGAGGCGGCTGCCGCCGCTTAGACGTGCTGCGCACAACGTCAAAGAGTGCAGTTTCAGGTGGCGCTGCGAACGGATCGACGCGCTCACACGCCTCTGGGGGGTGATTATGACGCCACACCTCGTCCGTGACGACAAAGCATCCATCGGGTTGACGGTGGAGTTGGAGGCTAGCGGCACACAAGTCCTCGCCGTGCGCTATGGCCTTCGAGTTCTTGTACTTACACCAATACTGCCTTCCGTTTGACTCCTTGCGGCGCGTAGCCCCACGTGATTGCAGAGAAATACCTCTTGAAAGCGGCCCGCGCAGCCAAGAACGCCTCGAACGACGGGAATCGTGTGCCGTGCGTGTCGCCAAACGAGATGGCGGCGACCCTCGACATTGCAAAGTAGTCGTGGAGCACCACCCAAGCACTAGTGCTTTCGATGTTTCGTCATCATATCACCCAACACTTCTCCCACAAAGCACTAGTGCTTTCATGTAGCACTAGTGCTTCACAGTGCAGTAGCCGTAAAGCACTGATGCTTAGTCACCATATCACCCAAAGCACTAGTGCTTTCATGTAGCACTAGTGCTTCACAAGAATAAATGGTTAGGAGGCGACGGTCGTTCATCGATCTGTGTCGCACCAGTGCTCCGAGACTTGGTGTCATACCAAATTAAGGTGCCATGGATCTATGCCGCATCCTCAGGCAGGACACCCTGCACCCGCCTGCAATGGGACCCGACACGGCGATGTCTGTATTGCCAGCCGCTTATGTGCAGTCGGCCCGCGCCTTTGGCATTGTCGCCATGTGCGGCGACGAGTACGAGCCTCCCGAAACTCTGTTCGGCGGCCCGAAGGACGTCAAGGCCTCCATACGCGCATTTGCCGCGGCTAACGGCATGGAAGTCTCGGTTAGCAACCGAGGAACCCAACTGGCCTTCCGTTGCAAGTACGCTCAACTCTCAAATGACTGTTTGTTACGTTGGGCCGGGCATGTCAATAGGACCTCAACGGAAACCAACCCGTGCCCGTTCCAGATACTCACAAACACCCGACTCGCCAGCGGTGCTAGTGTCATCACACGTGTCAACCTCGGGCACTCTCATCCCATCGCTAGCCCGTGTGTGAGGGATAACACTCGCAATACGACCGTGACGACCTCGATGGTCGGTTATACTAGTACTTGAAAGCGTGTAGTTATGTTAACATTTTGTCTAGTTGGTGGACGCCATCATGGCGTCGGAGCTTGTACACTCGACTCGTATCGAACGCATATCAACGAAGGCGATGAACAGCGTCATCCAGTCCAAGTACCTGACGACGATCGTGCCGCAGCGCGCCTCTACGATACGCTACAAGCTCAAGGAAATTCGGTTCGGTAAACTCGTGCCTCAATTCCAGCGCCTCGAGTCGTACCTCGTCCGACTATGCCACGACAACCCTGGGTCGTACGGTGTTTACGAGGCGTTTCCTAGCGGGATGTTCCGACGCTCTTTTTTTTTATCCCCGGCTGCTTCAACGCCAACACGCACGCGTTCAAGCCTCTGGTTGCCCTTGATGCGTGCCACCTCAAGGGCGACTTTGCGCAAACCGGCGTGCTTCTCGTCGCTACGATGAAGGACTATAACAACCAATTGGTTGTTGTAGCGATTGCACATGCTCCCACGGAGAATTTTGCCCACTGGGCTTGGTTCCTCCGTCAGTTGCGTGCCTCTAATATTCTACCTCGCGCAGACCTGCTTTGCTTCCTCTCGGACCGTCTCAAAGGTCTTCTTTCGTCGTGTTCGTTACTTATGGCGCTAGTTAGGGCTGTTGCTTGCCGTCAAAACCGCGTACCCCGAAGCGTTCCATCGCTGGTGCATGCGCCACATCGTAGCCAACATCAAAACGCACGGCTGGATTACGTGCGACGACATTGAGATCATCATTTACGAACTCGCCCGGAGCCCGAACGAGGAAGCGTTCGACGCGACAATGACCAAGCTCGACGACAAACCAGGTACGTGCAGCCGCACTGACTTCGACGTGGTGTGATTAAACCTGACCTGTACTTAGCGCTTCAAAAGTACCTTCGCGGTATGGACCGCGAGCATTGGGTCACTTACGCTCTGGTCGACGCCGGTGGCTTTTCGTTCGACGAAGTGACGTCTAACCTCGCCGAGTCTGCCAACAGCTGGCTCGGCGACGATCTTCGGTCCAGCGACCCCGTCCAGTTGCACTATCTCTATGTAGAAAAACTCCGAGCGAAGTTCGCCCGGCGTCGTTCGATGTACGACAAAGTTCGCTTGCAATCCACCACAGTGTACATCACACCCGCGGCCGAGAAGCGACTACAAGCCGACATCGCGAAAGCGCGCCAGTTCATCGCTGGCGATTGCGGCGGTAACTCTGGCATGTGGAAGATGGTGCATTGCCGCGATGTCCATCTTGGCAACGAACGAGCTTTCGCCGTGGACATGCCGGAGCGCTCGTGCTCGTGCTACCAGTGGCAGGACACCAAGTGGCCATGTTACCATGCGCTTCGCGTGTGCCTCTCCGCGCCCGGCACGATTTACGACTACATCGATGATGCCTACAACATCGACAAGACTGCCATCATCTACAGCCAGTCGGTGGTGCCCTCGTCCACTATCGGTTTGACCCACGACAAGTCGGCGTCGGCGCCGTCATTGTTGCAGCAAACCGTCTGCTTCTCGTACGACATGGTGCTTGCAACGACCAAATTAACAGTTCGGCATTGCGTAGGAAGCGTGCGAAGAACAAGCTGAAGGCGACCGGGAAAGCCAAGAAGGGCGCGTGGACAAAGACTGGTGTATTGCCGGGTCCGAAGGTCAGAAAGCGCTTCAAGTCCAAAGGGATGAAGTAGTTACAACATAAATATATACATTTGATTCACACAAGCTCCTCATTTGTACAGAGGCACTGCAAGCTCCAGTGCCTTCGTTTTGTTCTGCAAACTATGACGACATTGAACACGCCTCCTGTTTACCTCATACGTACAGGAAGCACTGGTGCTTCCTGTCTGTGTCCAGGAAGCAGTAGTGCTTTTGTCATCGCGGGACACCGTGTGATAATTTTAGGACATAAGCACCAGTGCTTCTATCCAGGATTGTGGTACGTGCCGAGGCACTAGTGCTTCCTGGCCGTGCACATGCGACATTTACGTGATATGTTATGCGACACTCATGCTAAGCTTTAATTGCTAAAATCGGATGAACCTAAGCTTTAATTGATCTCCTCGGATCGGCCAGGATTCATCAGCAGCGTGACACACGCTTTCCTCAAAACACATCTGCTTCCGTCATCTTGGATACACTATTTAAAGGCTCTGCAGTGAAGAGTTGTTACGTGAGCCAAACATAAAATCTCGCCTAGAACATATATTTTGGCGGTTGTGGTAGAATTGTTGACTCAGTTGACTGTGGCTTTTCCATGCAGGGGCGTTACCATGCAACGGCAAACGTGGCGCCGTGATGGGGCTTGTTGATCGATCCGACTGGGATCGGTCAGCAGCGTGACTCACGCTGTCTCAAAATGGACAGCTGCTTCGGGTCAGCGCGGGCCGTCCATTCGGCCGGGCGGTTGGTGCAAAAATACGCACCAAGTGGGACCTTCTATACAGGGTTTTCCCGCACACGATCCTTCCCTCAACCAACCTATTACCACAATTCATTCCACAACATCAATAGTACCCAGCATGGCGACGCTCAGCTCGATCGACAAGCGCGACGCGATCGTGTACAACTCGGCCAGTCGAGGCCTCCAAGCCGCGGCCGTTGCCGGTGTCACGGCCGGCGCACTCGTGGCACTGGCCAACCAGCAGTCGACGTGGTTTCGCCACCGCCTTGGCGTCAGCGGCAAGGTCGGGCTGGCCGTCATGGCGTCGGTCGCTAGCTTCGCCATCGTCGCCGAGCAAGACCTCTTGCGCGGCGTGCGCAACCCGGACGCATATATTTCTGAAATGCACGGCGAGAGTGCCCCGACCGCCAAGACGACGAGTGACCTGCCGCTGCTGCAGCGCACGGCCAACTTTGTGTACGACTACCCGTTCCGAACGCTCGTGGGCGCGGCGGTGCCGCTCGTCGGGTTCATTTTTCTGGACCAGAACCGCAACGCCAACATTCAATTCTCGCAAAAGATCATGCACACGCGCATTTACGGCCAAGGCGCGTCCGTGGTGCTGCTTCTGAGCACGATGGCCTTTCACGACTACATGGCCAAGCGCGGTCGGTTCCAGTAGTCCATAATTTTTTACTAGATATTTTATATCGCTGAAATGGATTATCGCCGGCATGCGTGAAACTTTGGGCCCTCAAGGCCGTAGTATCCCGCAACATGCGCATTGAGGCCAGCACAGGCACCCGCAAGCGACAGTCGAGGTGCTGACGACTGCCAACAGGCCCCGCAAGGCGCGCACAGTCAGTACACCCAGCCAATCTACGGACAACCTCACCGTCTGTAACAAATGGAGCCCTATTCCTTTTGGCCTCGTACGACTCGGGTGAAGCAACGGAACGCATTCTAGTGTTCTTTCGTAGGTACGTGGGCAGCCAGCAAGGCAAGGTGAGTCGTAGCGTCGCATTAGGTGTCGAGGACGATCAATACTGTAGAGTTTTTTCCTTGAACAAACTTTGCGTATCCACGCAGCCTTGCGACCTTTGCGATCGGGTGTTCCATCTCGCAATGTCCTGCAGTACACAACATTGTGTGCATCCCTCTTGACACTTTTTTAATTACCAGTAGTTATCACATTTGCATGCCGACGCAGCTCTTGCCTGATGTCAAGATACGTCGTCTGTCGACTGTACTAGAATCTTAGTTGCCAACCGGCGGCTTGAGAAGCGTCGGCGGCTTGCGCGCGGTACCAAGCGGCAGAGTCACAACGTCCTTGATCTTGCCCCACGCGGGCATCGTCACGAGCTCTTCTGACGCCGTCGGGTGGATCGCGACAATATTGTCAAAGTCCGACTTGTATGCGCCCATTTTGACGGCAACGCCAAAGCCCTGGATCATCTCGTCGGCGCCGAGGCCCGCGACGTGAACGCCGACGACAGCTTCTTCGACGCCGATGCACACGAGCTTCATCGCGGTTTGCACCTTATCCTTCTCGGCGCACATGGCATAAAACATGTTGGAGAACGAGCTCGTGTGCGTCGTCACGTTGTGCGCACCGTACTGCTCAATGGCCTGCGGCTCGGTCAAGCCAATCGTACCAATCGGCGGGTGGCTAAACACAACGGTCGGGATCTGGGAATAGTTGACGCACGCGTTCGGCTCGTTGCCGAAAAGACGGTCCGCGAGCCGACGACCGGCCGCAATCGCCACCGGCGTTAGCTCCCATCCGGTCGTCGTGACATCGCCAATCGCGTAGACGTTGGGAACAGTGGTGTTTTCTTGGGCGTCGACTTGGATGAATTTCTCGGTGGAAAGTGCAATGTCGGTCGTCTCCAGCCCCAAGTCGTGCGTCCGGGGCGTCCGCCCAATCGCAAAGAGAACCGTCTCGAAGCCGGTAAACGACTGAGGTTCACCGGCGACCGTCGCCTGGAGTGTCAACGTCCCGTCACCCGCCTTTTCAATCGCATTGATGCCGCTCTCCCGCACAAATTGCACGCCAGCGCTATGCCATCAAAATGAACCTGTCGCGATAGATCAATGTATGGATCGTGAGCGACGTACTGCTCCATCTCGGTGTTGACGAGGTCGCGCACGATCGGGTCAAACGTACGCAGCACCTGGTTGCCGCGGCAAAACACCGTCGTGTTCGACTTGAGCGCGTTAAAGATGCCGGCGAGCTCGACCGCAATGTAGCCGGCGCCGACGACCGCGACCTTGCGGGGCTGCGTCTCGAGCGCAAAGAACCCGTCGCTCGAAATCGCGTGTTCGATGCCGGGAATCGGTGGCAGGGCCGGGACACCGCCGACGGCAATGAGGATGTGCTTGGCCGTGTACCGTTCGCCGTTGACTTCAATCGTGTGGTTGTCGACAAACTTGGCGGCGCCCATGACGAGATCGACCTTGTCTTCGAGCATGCCTTCGCCGTACATACTGTTCAGCCACGTGACGTACGCATCGCGCTTGGCTTTCATCGCCGCCCAGTCAAAGGCGCCATATTGAATGTCCGACACACCCTTGAACGCGTACGCGCGCGCCGAATGGAGCATCTCGGCGTGGAGCGCAGCGTTGAACATGATCTTCTTGGGTACGCAGCCCACGTTGACGCATGTGCCACCGAGGCCAGCACCGTCATTCTCGCGGCCACGCTCGACGACGAGGACTTTGGCACCGTAGGCCACCGCGCGGTGGGCTGTCGACACGCCACCCGAGCCCGCACCGAGCACAATGTAGTCGTAGGTTGTCATGCTGTGTGTATTTGATGGGAGATTCACAACTGTGGACAAGAGCCATTGCAAATCAAAGCCATGCGCGCGTCTTGGCACATTCGGAGGAGAAAGGAAGGGATGGTTGTAGCCAGCTCAGTTGTTTGGAGCTGCTCGTATCTTTGGTGGCTTGTCACAGCCTCCCTGCAACAGCCTCGTGTCGGTTTTACATTTTTCGGTGGTAGAACTACCACGTACGTCCGCCACCCTTTTCTCCTCCCCACCGACATGCAGAGCCGGGCACAAAACCATAAAATACACTCCAAGAACAATAATACTGGCACGTGCAAAACACCCAAGGAGTACCCTAACTACCCTTCTATATCGAGCACTGCAACGGCCACGAGTAATGTCGATGACTGCATCGTCTTGATCGATCATCCACTGCGGTATCTTTCTTTGCAAAAGATATGCAAAAATCTTTTCATTTCCCATTTGATCATCGCCAACAACTGTCTACAACATGTGCCACAAGACCTCGTGCTCCGTGTGCCACAAGGCGACGTGGTACTCTTCTGCTCAAATGACTGGGATTGATCGAACGTCTTGTAGGCAAGGGTGCGGCCAGCACATCCAGAGCGCGCTCCAAGGTGCGTCTCGACTTATATCTTCCTAATCGCGTAGAGGGAACATATAGGCGTTCCTGAGGCGGAGAGGTGCCCGGGTTGGCGCACGGGCCAGCACCAAGACGCACCGAGCGGCGGCGCCGGTAAATAAGCACCCGAGACGCAAGAGGCTCTAGCACGAAACGAAAAATAGCATACATTTACAACGACAACCTGCCTCGTGCATACTCGTGTGGCAATAACCTGGACTTAGTGCAGTGTGAGGCTTGGTCACTTCATGAACGTGAGCACGACGCATCAGGGAATCCATGTGCCGATTCGAGCCCCAGCGCGACCATACTTCAAACAAAACAGCTTGTATGTGGCTCATGACAACGAAACTTTTGTGGGTCGAGTTCACAAGCTCCATTTTGGCATGGGTCAGCAAGCAACCAATCAAACTCAGGCAATGCACTGTTCTAGGGCCCGGAACGTGTAGCACTAGTAAACGTGTATAAAGAGAGTTGCCTCTCCAGGGTTATCAACGAATGAGTTGGTGGAGCGACGCCAGAAAGCAATGGCGGCGCGATCTCCACACGCCTCGACGTGTGCGAATCCGGGCTGGTCCAATCGCAACAGTGCGCGGGCATTGGCCAGACAAAGAGCAAACGAGCGTCCATTTTGGGTGTCGAGCCCTACCCCTTGGTCCGCAGCCACAAAAGAGTGGGGTCGAGTGACAAATATAAGCGGCACGACAGTGAATACATTGCGGTTGGCCAACCAGATCGCATCTGTTGTGCCCAATCATTGCTCTCGTGCGCTAAAATGAGCTGCTATCCATTTCCTCATTTGTGATATTACGTGTTGGCGCCATGATATCCCCCACCACCGTGACCGAGTTTCTACCCATGCTTGACGACACGGCACCATCGACTGAGGCCAAGACGAACGACAACCAAGTAGTCGCCGTCACGGACAAGAACGACGTCATTGCAATCAACAAAGGATACCACGCCCCGGTCCAGCCCGCGACGCTCGGGTGGCACGACTTGCGCTACACGGTGCAAGCCAAGTCGCTTCTCGGCAAGAAAGGGCCGACCAAGACGATCCTCAAAGGTATCTCGGGCCACGTGGCACCCGGACAACTCACGGCCATCATGGGACCGTCTGGCAGCGGCAAGACGACGCTGCTCGACATCCTCGCGGACCGCATCGCGACAGGCGTCGTCGAAGGCGACCTCGAAGTCAACGGTCGGCCGCGCCACTCGGCCTCGTTCCGCAAGATGGCCACGTACGTGGCGCAGGAAGACTCTCTCCTCGGATCGTTTACGGTTCTCGAGACACTCCGATTCGCAGCCCGCATCTCGCTCAAGGCCCCGGCCGACGTCTTGGAAGAGCGCGTTCAGAACGCCATCGCAGACATGGGTCTAACCAGCTGCGCCAACACGCGCGTGGGCGACATCTTTTTCAAGGGCATCTCGGGCGGCCAGAAGCGCCGGCTCTCGATCGCGATCGCGCTCCTCACCAACCCTTCGATTTTGCTTCTTGACGAGCCGACGTCGGGGCTCGATGCTGCATCGACGTACTACATTATGAAGTACATTGCCAAGCTCTGTGACGCCGGCCGGACCGTGGTGTGCACCATCCACCAGCCGTCGACCGACGTGTACAACCTCTTCTCGACCTTGTCGATCCTTGTCGAAGGCCGAACTGTCTTTTTCGGTCCCCCCGCATCGGCCTTGACGCACTTTGCGTCGCTCCACTACCCGTGCCCCAACTACTCGAATCCCGCCGAGTACTTTGTCGGTCTTGTCAACACGGACTTCGAAGGCCATGCCGACGTGAACGCGTTCGTCGATGCATTCGCCCGCAGCGACCTCGGCGCTTCGGTCGTCCGCGCCTTCCAAGCCGACCGCACGTTGAGCCGCAAGAGCGACGTGTTGAATCACGAAGCATCGGCGTTCACGCAGTGGCAAGTGCTGCTGCAGCGCAACTTGCTCAACAATGCGCGCAACCCGGGTTTGTTTTGGGTCCGTCTCTTCATGTACATCATGCTCGCGTTCATGGTCGGCACCATGTACTACCACACGAATGCGGCGCTGACGAAGGAAGACTTGCTCCCGCTCCTCTTCTACGTTCAAGCCTTCCTCGTCTTTATGAGCGTGGCGGTGCTGCCCTTCTTCATCGAGCAGCGCGCGGTGTTTGTCCG